AGGAAGCAGAAACTTGACCTTGATGAAGCTCATGTCCCCAGAAAGTCACTCTGCCAAGTCTGAAGGATGACCAGGAGCATTGTCTAACACCAGGAGGCACTTAAGGTCCAATTTATTTTCCAGGAGGTAATTTTTCACAGTGGGGGCAAATGCATGGTGTAACCAGTCATAGAAAAAATCCCTAGTGACCCATGCCTTACTGTTTGCCCTCCACAGCACACACAAATTAGCCTTGAGGACATTGTTTTTCCTGAACACTCTGGGAGTTTCAGAGTGATACACCAATAAAGGCTTCACTTTGCAATCACCACTAGCATTAGCACACATCAACAGAGTAAGCCTGTCTTTCATAGGCTTATGTCCTGGGAGTGCCTTTTTCCTCCTGAGTAATGTAGATCCTGCTTGGCATTTTCTTCCAAAACAGGCCTGTTTCGTCACAATTAAACACTTGTTCAGGTTTCAGTCCTTCAGCCTTTGTGTACTCCTTGAATTCCTGCACATATTTTTCAGCTGCTTTTTGGTCCGAACTGTCAGCCTCACCATGCCTTATCACACTATGTATGCCACTACGATTCTTAAATCTCTTAAACCAACCTTTGCTGGCCTTAAATTCACTCACATCACCACTAGTTGCAGGCATTTTTCTAATTAAATCGTCATGCAACTTCCTAGCCTTTTCACATATGATCGCTTGAGAGATGCTATCTCCTGCTATCTGTTTTTCGTTTATCTACACCAATAACAGTCTCTCAACATCTTCTATCACTTGCGATCTCAGTTTTTAAAACATAGTTGCACCTTTGGCAAGAACAGCTTCCTTGATTGCCGTTTTCTTGGCCACAATAGTAGCGATGGTTGATTGGGGTTTTGTGTACAACCTGGCCAGCTCGGAGACACGCACTCCACTTTCATATTTAGCAATAATCTCTTTCTTCATATCCATAGTAATTCTCACCCTTTATGCTGTAGGGTTGGCACTAGAAGCTTTCTTGGGGCCCATGGTGACTTATTTTGCAGGTGCAATCACTAAAAACGCTGTGATAATATGAAATGTTCTGATTGTATATTTGGATGCGACCACGGTGGCTGGCTGGCTTGTAAACACTGGCACCCACGGGACAAGTGAGGCGTGCTCAGGCCATATGTGGACACGTCTCAAATGGAACGAATCGCGTTGGCCGAGTTTTTTAGCGCTAGTCAAGGCAAAATTTTTGCGTTAAAATGTATCGCTAGTCGGATTTAATGTTATACGATGCCTTCTTTTAATGCCACTAGGACCAGCTTGAGAGTCACTGGACCTCTGTCACACAACAAATCTGTCCATAGAGCTCTGTACCTCCCGTTCCTTTAAGATTTTCCTAAAATGGGCCATAATATTGTCATTGTACAGGTTGTCAACATGGCTTGCAGTAGCTGTGTCAGGGTGATTTTCCTCCGTAAAGGTTTGCAGTTCAACCCACTTTGCACACATTTCCTTAATCTCTTTTTTCAATTCCCTACTAATTCTCGCTCTTTTTACACAGGGATGGCACTAGGAGCTTTCTTGGGGTCCATGATGACTTATTTTGCAGTTACAAGCACTAAAAACACTGGGATAATGTGAAATGTACTGAATGTATGCGTAGATGCGACTGCACTGGCTGGCTTGTAAACACTGGTGCTGAGGCCACACGTGGGACACGTCCCGGATGAATCATATAAGGCGAGATTTTTATCGTAAGGTGAGGCAAAATTTTTGCATTCAAATGCTTCGTATGGCGAATTTAACGTAATGCGATGTGTTCTAAGGCAGGGGTCCACTGTATAACGAAAGAAAACTGTGTTTACATCTGGGCAAACACTCCTAGATCACTCTTACCATAAGAAAAAACACAAATAGAGTGATTTTTCCCGATTTTGTTTTCTGAGTCATATGCTATGCTCTCTGTCTCATTGCATCTTAAGAAAAGATTAAACTCACTGAAGAAGGTATGTCGATGGTAATAATAATTTATAACAATAGGTATTAGGCTGGTAGACAGCAACCACCTAGGGAGGTACTACCGTCCTGCCAAGTGAGTGTAAAACGAAAGCCTGTAATTGTTTTACATGATGGTAGGATTCCTGGTGTCCTTTTTTCTGTCTCATAGACATGCAACATTTCAGGTACGTCTTGCTACTTCTACTTACACTTAGGTCACACTACACATACATGTACAAGCATATATATACACACACCCCTCTGGGTTTTCTTCTATTTTCTATCTAGTTCTTGTTCTTGTTTATTTCCTCCTATCTCCAGGGGGATGTGAAACGGAATTCTTCCTCCGTAAGCCATGCGTGTTGTAAGAGGCGACTAAAATGCCGGGAGCAAGGGGCTAGTAACCCCTTCTCCTGTATAAATTACTAAATTTAAAAAGAGAAACTTTCGTTTTTCTTTTTTTGGGCCACCCCGCCTTGGTGGGATACGGCTGGTTTGTTGAAAACAAAAATATATAATACAGTGGACCCCCGACTTACGATATTAATTCATTCCAGAAGTCTGTTCGGGTGCCATTACCGAACAAATTTGTTCCCATAAGGAATATTGTAAATTAGATTAGTCCGTTTCAGACCCCCAAAAATACACGTACAAAAGCACTTACAAAAATACCCTTACATAATCGTTCGAGTTGGGAGCTGATCGTAAGGCGGGGGTCCACTGTAATCATAATAATTTATAACAATAATAATTTATAATAATAATGCAGTCAGAATAACAAATTCCCACTACAGGCAGCACACTCCACCAATATTCAGAACTCTAAACTTACGAACTGTACAAAACATCCATACCTATTATTGTACCTACTACATACATAGAACACTTAACTCGAATATAAACCGTCCCCTCAAACGTCTCCTTACCCACCTCAACAGAACACATGACCATAACACAAGACACAGATCACTCTTTGATGTTCCTCGTGTCCATCTCACACTATGCAAAAACTCAAGGCACATAAAAGGCCCAAAAATCTGGAATTCATTACCTGTGAATATAAGAGAAATACTGTCTGTTTTTAAATTCAAGTCTCTTCTTAAAAATCGCTTACTCACCACAACTAAATAAATACTGTATACATCTACCATCCGACTTACGACCGAGCTTGGTTCCGACCAACCGGACGCAAGTCAAAATGGACGTAAGTGGAACTTTACTACTGAATATCAACATCACATTTTTGAAATGACTATTTTATTGTTTTATTTTGGTATTCCATTTTTTACTTTACTTTTTATGCTGTTAGTACTGTATTTTATACTGTAAGGTTTAGGATAAACACTGGGAAATAGTACAGTTGTCTATTTCCCAGAAATTTGGCATAAAAAACACGGTCGTAAGTCGAGTGGTCGTATGTCGAGCAGGTTGTAAGTCGGATGGTAGGTGTAATTGTATCTCATAAATGTTTAACTTGTGACCCAATCAAACTTTGTTATTTTTAATTATATTACCTAACAGAATACTCCATTCTACTGAATGCACAGCAACACAGTAAATGACCATTTGACCTGTCTTTGAAATACTCATTTGTGCTTAATTGTTATTTGTTTACAATAAAGTTTACCACTGAATATATCATTGCTTAGTTAACCTTAAGTCTGCCCATAATGCTCTGCATACAAGGGGCTTTGGCATGTTACACTTAACCACTGTATTTCTTTGTACTTCTATGTATCATGTTCAAATTAATAAATGAATAAATAAATAATAATAATAATAATAAATAATTGCTCTGGAGTACTTTAAATGTCATACGTATTCCTTATAGGTTTGGTAGCTGACATTTAAAGCACTCCAGAGTGATTATTATTATTATTTTGATTATTACCATCAACATACCTTGTTCACTGAGTTTAATCATTTCTTAAGCTGCCACTATACACCGAGAATGTAAACACAGACGAACACACCAGCTAAACCTTTTACTGTGAACTTCTTTTGTACTTTTTCCATTTCCCTCTTGTTTTTCCTCTTCCAAGTTCTGCTGCACTTCTAACTCTTCTTCTACTATGGGATGCACAATAAAGTGCAAATTTCTAGACGAAATTTGCAGTCTTGGAGATTGCTTGATGCTGAAATGCATCACTAACCCATTTACAATGAACTTCTTTTGTACTTCAATTTTCCTGTTGTTTTTCCTCTTGGAAGAGGAAAAACAACAGGAAATTTGTACAAATATATAATCTTGGAGACTGTGAAAGCTAGTGTACTGAATGGCTGTAGGAAGGAGATTCAGATGCTTGACACTGAAGACGCTGCGGTGCCCGTTCATGACCCAAGTTCTCGTACAGTATACAATAATGACTCGTCAGAGAGCCCGTCGTAACTCTAGAGTTTTCAGTAAACAAGTATGTCGGTAAGTGAGGAGAGGCTGTAATATACAATTACAGTGGAACCTCAGTACTCAAACAGCTCCTTACTTGAACAATTCAGTATTCGAATGCTTTGTTTGGTAAAAAAATCACTCGGTAATCGACCATTTGCTCGGCACTCAAACAAACACGGCCTACCAGAACTTCACTGTAAACCATTTTGTGTTCCTTCGCATTTTTTGATGTTTTTATATTATTTGTATAAATAAGTCATCATGGCTCACGAAATCGTAATGACACGATTGCAAACAAACCATACCACAGGTGGGGTTTGAACCCACGGGTTCAAGCCCCACCTGTGGTATGGTTTGGTTAAGTCATCATGCGCCTACGAAGATTAGTGATAACAGCCAACCAAAAGGAAAATTGGTTGGGAAAAATTTGTTCAGCATTTGAACAGACTGGCATTCGAACAGCCTTCTGGAATGAATTAAGTTCGAGTACTGAGGTTCCACTGTATATATACATAACATCCTATATCTTCATGGGTAGCCAATTATTATGTATCCACTAATTCAAGCAAAATTTATTATTGCCTCTAACCAATCTACTTACAATTTACTAAGCTAATATTCATCAGTAAACCAAGTAACAAAAGCTCCTACCTGTGAACTTGTTTCTGACTCCTCCTGCTGCTCCCTCTCTCGCCTCTCTTTTTCAATCGTTTCTCGTATTGTTTCTGATAACCTCCTCTTTCTCTTTCTTTCTTTGCTGCCAAGATAATTAATCATTTTCATAATTGTTTTAGAAATGTAACCAGTTAAAATGATAAAAACCTGAAGCAGAAGAAATACGAGGCAATCATGAAAAGGAACTTAAACAGGAAATCAGGATGACTGAATTTAACAGACTAACAGGGCAAATAGTGACTGGTTGTGGTCAGTGTGGTGAATGGAGAGGAGACTGTCTTGCTGTGATCATAACTTAAGAGACAATTTTGCTATCAACAGTTTTTGTCATCTGTTTCTGAAACAAATGACATGGTAAGTTTTGTCCAGTATTTCTGAAGTCCATTAAACTGAAGATTCACGTAGCTCAATGTACTCCCAGTTATCCAGACTAACTGGGGGTGTGAATGGGCTGGTAATCCCAGGTCACAGGTTCAAATCCCAATCACTCAATTAAAAAACTAAGAAAAACCTACAGCAATTCACTCACTAAAGAATGACTATGTGTAAAGCAAAATATTCCATTCTCAATGAAGATTTTTGAACATGCTTAACTGTAGTATTACTGTGTTGTGCTATATTCCAGCTACATTCATACCGCTTACTCAAGATTCAATTTGTTGTTGTTTACCTTGTGTATTAATGTATGATACTTGATCATTCTTCAACTTTCTTATTTTTACATAATCAAATATTTGCACAACCAACATTTTAAGAAAATAGAAACATAGTGCATTATACATGTTAGTGTGTTAAAAATACTCCTGCAGCATTTCCACTTCTATGAATAAGAAATACTATACAGTGGTCCTTGGAGATAAGAAATTAATCTGTTACTGAAGTATCATGCCTCAAAATTATCGCAACTCAAACCCAAAAATATGTGGTTTTATGTTAATTCGTTCCAAGACTCGACAAGCAACTTTTACTGTACCTTGGGCTCAAATTTAACTTACAGGCACTGTATCTCCCTTCATCTAATTCTCTCTTACCCACAGTAACAACATGATCATTTCTCTGCCTCTTTTCACTACCTAAGATCTGACAGCCACTTTAACATCTTTTATAATGTCTTTTTGCTTTATAATAGTGGAGATAGTTGATCGTGGAAAGCTATACTTATGCACCAATGCACTAATTCTAACTACTGCATTACAAGAAGAAACTGCTTCACATAAATGATAACTAAATTATCTTTAAAATACATCACAAAAGATAATAAATACCAACAATTATATAAAGACATGTGATTTCACTACATATTAATTAAATATTGAGTGAAATTATGCTTTTCAGAAGTCATTTAACACACATGAAAACAACTGAAATTTAGTAGAAAGTCTACTGAAAAAACACAAAGTTCTGCATGAGATCAAGGCATATGTTGTTATAGTCATGTAAAAGTGATAAACCCACATGGGTCATACAGCAACTGGGGAATGGGAGGCAATCAAGTTTAATTTGATGAAGGGAAGGGCAACTCAAATTCCTTGGATCAAAATCTCCTCACAAGCACCAAAGCACCCAATGACAAACATATTAGAAAATCACCAGTAATCTTTGATTATTTCTATGATTATACAGACAGGTGGTAGAAGTGTTGTCTTGACAAACTTTTTGTGTTATCCGTTTTAAAATAGGAAAAAAGATTGTTAAAAATAATATTAAATAACAATGTATCAATAAAACTTGCCCGGCCATAAAAATAAGGGTCTTATGAGCAGTGACTAAGATACTTCTATGGATAATGGATATACTGCTCAAAAATGTGTAAAACATTGCCTTTAAATATATTATGAATAAAATTTCTGGAGAATTATATTAAATCATTACAAATTATCTGAATTATATTTCAATGCCTTGTTTTCTTTCTCTCATACATGCTGGAGACTCTCGGCCATTAAACTTTCTTTCAGCATTAGTTATCAAGGTGCTGTGATACAAGATAATGTACATTAACTCTAAACCACTAGCGTAATGCAAAAGTGACATACTCTTTATGCAGAACCAAATTATTATAAACTACATTTGCAAGGATAGGCCAGTAGACACTTGGGCAAGTAAAAGTTAAGTAGCACCCCACTCTTGTGATGTTTAAAGTTCCCAGTGTGATCATGGCACACACAACACACCCAATAAAACTGGACACATGAATCTCTGATGAACAGCAAGACAAAAACAGTTTTCTTGTCTATACTGATGGGAACAGGTTGTAGAGCATATGTGAGTGGTGTCCCAGAGGCAAAGAAAAAAAAAAAGAGATGTTTTAAATATAACACCTCAAAGTAATGGAAAGTACGAAGTCTACTTGGATGACTAATAGATAAAGACTGCCAACACAGCAGCCAAAACAAAAAATGGTAATAACAGGAAACAGAGGGGAACAATACAGTTTAAAGGTTTGAAAACTATACAAGTAATAAATGAAGTTAAAAGGGAATTCAGCCTGATTTTCAGAAAAATTTAGATTTCTGCAGTTTTGGTGTCAATACTTTCATCAGTGTTTTAAGATTTTGTTTTTAACACAATGGCCATCTCCCACCAAGGAAGGGTGACCCAAAAAAAAAGAAACACTTTCACCATAATTGCCTTTCTAAAGGCACACTGATACTACAAATCAGATGCCCCTCCAAACAGAAAATATCCTCACCCCTTCCAGAGTGCAGGCACTGTATGTTCCACCTCCAGGATTAAAGGCCAACTAACTGGTTTTCCCGAATCCCTTTATAAATGTTACCTTGCTCACACTCCAACAGCATGTAAAGTCAAAAAAAATCTACTGCCTCTACTCACTCCTATCTAAAACACACACACACACACACACACACACACACACACACACACACACACACACACACACACATTCATATTTCTTCAGTCATAGAGTCGTCAGGAAGTGGAATAGCCTAGCAAGTGAAGTAGTGGAGGCAGGAACCATACATAGTTTTAAGAAGAGGTATGACAAAGCTCAGGAAGCAGAGGGAGAGGACCTAGTAGCGATCAGTGAAGAGGCGGGGCCCAGGAAGCTTGAGTCTCGACCCTGAACCACAATTAGGTGAGTACAATTAGTCGAGTACACACACACACAATACGTTACGTACGTCTGCTGGTACTAGCATAAAACTGCTTTCACCCTCTCCTCCTAACTTTCCTAGGGTGACCTGACCTGCCTTCTCTCCACTACATATTCATACAACATCCTCTATTTTATGCCATCCTCTTTAAATGTCCCAGCAACCATCCTCAACAACCCTCCTCATCTTCTCTGGATAATAATTTTAATTTAGTGCCCTGACCTCCTATCTCAAAAAACTTATGAATTTTGTAACATATATACATACACACCATTTCCCTCAATGTACCCACTCACCGTTTGACCCCTCTTCAAATTCTATGGTGATTCACCCATTTTTCATATACCATCCACCAAAAGCCCAAAAATCTGAACACATTTAACTACCTCCATATTCCTTCCTTTCATTATCTAATTTCTTCATTATTCCCTTCTCATTATCAAATTTTTTTATTACCTCATCCCTTGTTCTTTCCTATTTTAGTTTTTCTTTAATTTCTTCTTTTACATCCCTTCCTAAAATTATCCACCAACCTTCGCAACTTCTCTTCAGCACAGTGTCATCGGCAAAAAGCAATCGGCAAAAGTGACAATTCCCACTCTGTATTAGATTTTATATATTTTAATCCCACACTTCTCCCCAACACACTAGCATCCACTTCTTTTACAACCTCATCTATATATATAATAATAATAATAATAATAATAATAATAATAATAATAATAATAATACAGTGGACCCCCGCATAACGATTACCTCCGAATGCGACCAATTATGTAAGTGTATTTATGTAAGTGCGTTTGTACGTGTATGTTTGGGGGTCTGAAATGGACTAATCTACTTCTCAATATTCCTTATGGGAATAAATTCGGTCAGTACTGGCACCTGAACATACTTATGGAGTGAAAAAATATCGTTAACCGGGGGTCCACTGTAATATAATAATAATAATAATAATAATATAATATCTTTATTTACTACAAGTACATGTTACATGGTATAAGTCCTAGATGACATTCAATGACATACTACTATATAGAACAGCCCTTGTTTATAAACCATACACGGGCGGGGATGCATAGAACCGCAAATAGTTGTCAGTGTCCCAGGATGCGTACCCTGTATTCGTTATATCTCCAGTCGGTTAACACCCAGGTACCCATTTTTACTGATGAGGAACATAGACAACAGGTAGAAAGAAACACACCCAATGTTTCTACTCTGGCTGGGAATCGAACCCATGCCCTTCAAACCCATCGTTAAATCAGTACCTTGGTTCATTAACCAATCACAGGCAAGCCCGCCAAAGCAGAAGCAACGTGGTTCACTTGCGGGAAGCATTGGCAGACTTGCCTACCTGCTGGTTGAATATGGTGCACTCTCTCTCTGGCTTTTGCTTTGCCATCTGTCACTGTGGTGAGCATTTATTATTATTCTGTCTACATATTGTACATATCTGTACACAGTGGGGTGTAGGCAAATATACATTATAGTCTACTGCTGAGTTTGTTTGCTCCAATTCCCATTATGACCAGGTCTCACAGCCCATTTATTACCTGTGTTCATAATAACAACCATGGTGACATCACACCCTAATAACCTGATCCCTAATTTTTTTTTTTTAAACACATTAGCTGTTTCCCACCAAGGCAGGATGGCCCAAAAAGAAAGAAAAAACTTTCATCATCATTCAACACTTTCACCATCACTCATACATAATCACTGTCTTTGCAGAGGCACTCAGACATGACAGTTTAGATGTTCCTCCAAACTGCCAATATCTCAAACCCCTCCTTTAACCCTTTCACTGTCGAGACCCCTGCTCACAAACTTGCTCCCAGTGTCGAAGAATTTAAAAAAAAAAAAAAAAAAAAAAAAAACTTATGAAATGAGAGAGAATCTTTTCCTGATGTTAATGACACCAAAAGTACAAAATTGGATGGAAAACTTATGGAATTATGCTCTCGCA